AAAATATACGGAAGCACATTGTGTAAAAGTATGGTTCTTGTAGGCTACTGGTTGACCAATTTTGAATGGTGACCTGATCTGGTATGGCCCATGCTAGGAGACAGATATGGTAAGAATAAACTCCCCACAGTCTTAACACTAATTTCCGTGCTCGCGATTTCCGTCTTGACATGTTAGCATAGGCTTCAAATACATCGATCAATACGACCGTTTTTGACCTTTCGTAACCTCCGTTGACCTCACATTTGACTTGAAGTCAGAAATTTCGTGTGCATTTTTATGATTCGATGAGACTTTCAAGACAGTATCTTTGTTCTCCGCATGTGGCGTCTGGAAGTTGGAGATTCCAAGGGGGAAGTCAACTTCTCCTCGGCCAGGTGCGTTTGCCTCAGACCCCCGGCCGTCTGGGCGCAGGTTGATGAGCTGTCCCCGTTCGTACCCCACAGCCGTCTCCTATCTTATGTCGGTGATATCTAACTTTTGGGTCAGTGGCAACGGCCTGTCCGACCTGACTTCGCGTGTCAAGGAGCCTGACCTTTGTTTAACGTTTTAAAAATCCAGAAAAAAATCCAGAAAGGGCCGATATCTCTCTCGTTGCCCAAAGGTTCCGCACAAAAAGGCGATTAATTCTCTCACCAGCCTTCCAGGTTCGACTATCGGAAGTCCTCTTGCTCTACTGTTCAAGAGCTGAGTGCTCTGCTCGGCCAGCGGGTTATCTGGGACTGCCCATATACCCACACTGATGCGGGGATACGGTGTCCACCACTGCGCCTCTGCATAAAATCCGCCACTACGTTACTTCAGACATCCTTAACTACCCGTTCGAGACCAAGTATTCCTCATATCATTTACTGCCTCTCGGCTAGTGTGTAACCGCCCAGTGCCGTTTGCATCACAGTCATAGGGTGCATGAGCTTTGCCGTTTGCAGACCAACGGCGACTTTTCTCATCGCGCGGGCCAGCGCGTGAAATACGCTGGCCATCAGCTGTCAGCTATGCTCGTCCCGACGCAGACTTATGGTAATTTGTAGTAGCAATGACAGGGCTGAGGGCCGACGCCAGTCATGACACGCGGCAACAGCAGCCGGGGCCAACGTGTTTAATTGTGACCGACATATTCATCACGTTTGGTGCCGTGTATCATTTGACTAGGATCATCAAAAATCCATGCTGTAGATGCCTCTTGCGTGTATCATTATGGTATGGCCGGCTGACGGTCAGGAAAAACTGTCACACTTGAACTCAACTTTCAACAATCACGCGTGATATGCCAGGCTTTAGCAGCTGTTTCGTTATGGCCGGGTATTTGTCAGTCCGATCCGATGAGCCCTTTAGCTCAATATAGACGCCGTCAAAAGCTCGGAAGTGTTTAATAGTGCTTGCGTTGCGTTTGGCCGGTTTATGAGGAAAACTCACACAATCATCTCGTTCGTGGGATGGTGAACAGTGCTGAGCTCTCGTGTGGTGCGCAACAGTGCATTGTCCTCGCTACCATGTACAAACATAAATGCGTGTAAGAGGACACAGCGTCACGACACTTTGACTTCTGCCGTTGTTCTGATATACTTACCGATGTCGACAAAGTCTCCATGCACCGTGGCCAGCAGCGTCAGCAGCAGCGGCGTGGCGAGCGTCGATAACCTGACGGCAAGAAGGGGGACAGTGAGTCTCAGTTGCCGTTCGTATGAGAGCTAGAGATCATGTCAGGGACTCTAAAGCAGAAAACGGCTTCCATTCACCGGAAAGTTGAAGAGAAAAATGCATTCAGTTCGTCAGCCAGGGTACACGAGCACTTAGCCGATGCGGTCACTTTTACTGCGCCGGCTGCCGAGCTCTGACGCAATGCCATTTTCTAGCCACCTTTTGTACATTCCGTGGCAAACCGGCCGGGACATACCCGCCACGCTATACAATCACGCTGCCATTAACTGACGCGGGGCGGCGTGAGCGCCGCCCGGTGCCGTCGGCCCGCCCCGCCCTCCAGCGCGGCTCGCTCTCTCTGTCTCTCTCTCCCCCCCATCACCGGTGCGTCCCCATCCAATCCCACCCTGCACGCTCGCATGCCTGGCAGACCGATGTGTAAAAACGGCCGTGGGCGGTGCAACTTCAGACAGCCCGCGGCGCGGTGAGGCGATGGGTTTACGGCGCTTAGTGAGGTTATGAATTAGTCAATGAAGTCTTCGTCTGGCGGAGGTTTCTGCGAGCCGCTCCACACGCGATGGAGAGGTATGCGGCTGTGTGTGAGCGAGACATTGGACGCAGCCTGCCCCGTCATACAAGGGAGGAAAGGGAAGGAGAAGGGAATAAGGAGAGAGAGAGAGAGAGAGAGAGAGAGAGAGAGAGAGAGAGAGAGAGAGAGAGAGAGAGAGAGAGAGAGAGAAGAGAGAGAGAGAGAGAGAGAGAGAGAGAGAGAGAGAGAGAGAGAGAGAGAGAGAGAGAGAGAGAGAGAGAGAGAGAGAGAGGAGAGAGAGAGAGAGAGAGAGAGAGAGAGAGAGAGAGGAGAGAGAGAGAGAGAGAGAAGAGAGAGAGAGAGAGAGAGAGAGAGAAGAGAGAGAGAGAGAGAGAGAGAGAGAGAGAGAAGAGAGAGAGAGAGGAGAGATAGAGAGAGAGAGAGAGAAGAGAGAGAGAGAGAGAGAGAGAGAGAGAGAGAGAGAGAGAGAGAGAGAAAGAGAGAGAGAGAGAGAAAGAGAGAGAGAGAGAAAGAGAGAGAGAGAGGAGAGAAGAGAGGAGAGAGAGAGAGAGAGAGAGAGAGAGAGATAGAGAGAGAGAGAGAGAGAGGAGAGAGAGAAGAGAGAGAGAGACTGGGAAAGAGACGACTGAAAGAA